AAAGGAAAATAGAAACAGATTAAAAAAAAAAAAACCCAAGATGAGGGCCAAATTAGAAATTAAAAAAAAAGCAGCTATTACGAGTCTACCCCCTCACAATTGATGAAATTTAAATTTTCTCTAATATTTTTTCACAATTTTACTAGATGGTAGATTATCCATCGTGTATAGTATAAGTGAAGGGTCTACATATAAATAATGAGTTCCACATAAATATATGGTGAATGATCTACCATTAAATAAATTTAGGAAAAAATAATAATGACCTATTGACCCTTTTATTTTTTATTAATAATTATATGAATTCAAATAATTCAAATTAAATTTAGTTAGACTCAGATATAAATTAAAAACTCTGCTTCACCAATCTATTTCTAGAGGAAATATTCAATGCAACGGCGATATTATATCAGTAATGTTAAAATAATATCACTGATCAATAATAAAACACCAAGTGAATTAGGTAAATCTTATTTAAATACTTATCGACTTACATTATTTATTTATCAACGATGTCACGCCCATATTATCATGTGGGATCTCCTTTGTAATAATGGATATTTGATACACACGATCACTCGGAGGCACGCACACACACACACCGCCTTAAGTTTAAGTGCCTACATCCAAAGATAGAGCCATAATTTTTGTTTATCCCGTGTTAAGTTAAGCATTCATATGACTAAAAAAACACAAATATAAACTCGTAAACATATATACAATAATACAAATGTAAACTCATAAACTTTTAGTTGATATGATCAGACATTTTCTGTAGGCAGACTAAACTTTCAAGTACATCAACTCTTTGGCCGGGAAAAATCAACACAGAGACCTTATTGACCGCATCAGAATATCATCTTGGTACATTCTTTATCGTTGACAACAACCCATATTCAAGTTTTTCAGTAAAAAAAACAAAAGAAACAACCGAGGGCCATAACAAACAACGGAAAACATGACAATATAAAAGCTTGTTAAAAATGATGAGACTTCTTGTACAAACGGAAATCTCAATGTAATATGGCAAGCAAACAGAAAATACAAGCATAACAATGACTTTCTTAATAATGCATCTTCCACAAACATCCATTTTAAGACACTAAAAAGCGACCCAAACTGAAATGGGTTAATCACAAACTCTCTCTGGAGTGTTAATCGAACACCTCTGAAGTGAAATCAAAAGTTTAAAATATTTCAAATTAAAATAGGTCAATCACAAACTCCATCTAGAATGTTAATCAAACACCACTGAAGTGGAATTCAACGTTGAAAACATTCCAAAGACTCCCAATAAAGAGATAGTACAGGTCACCAAAGACACCAAAAAATAACTCAAACTAGAATGGGTCAATCAGAAACTCCCTTTGGAGTATTAATCGACACCTCTAAAGTGGAATCAAGAGTTGAAAACATTCCAAAAGTTCCGAGCAAAGAGATTACAATTCGGCACAAAGAATTCAAGATGATATTCGAAAAATTGAAAATTCATTGAGATGATCTCAATTGATTTTTTCAAAAATCATCATAACTACCGGGCATCAAGTCTACTCAAGCAAGGGCGTTGGTCGTTGACTATAGCCCACCAGCAGTCTCCGGATTACTACTGTTGGGAAAGGAGAGTCTTGTGGACAGATTAGTTCCATCAACTAAAAGGTTGGTAAATGTATGTCGGGCTGGGTTGGGTTGATTCTAATAAATTTTTCATAAATTTGGAGGTCGGTCCTCTTATATGGACTTGTTTGTATTTAAATTTGTTAAGAAAATTTATTTGTTATAAAGTCCGTTTTTTGTTAATTTTATCATGCTATCCATTTTTTTTAGAAGTGAAATAAAACTAAAAAATTAAAAACTCCTAAATTTTAGGAGTTTGACTAGCATTAAAATATTTTCTCACTCATATCTATCTATATCCATATATAGGTTAAGAGTTTAACTAACATTAAAATAAAATTTTACTTCTCTTATATATATATATATATAGAGTAACATTAAAAATAAAAAATAGTAAAATTTAAATACAAAAAAAATTTATCATTTGGACACAAAAAATAATACATTTAAATACAAAAAAATAGTAACATTTAAACATAAAAAATATTAAAATATTCAATATTAATATTTTTAAAAAATAACAACAGTAACATGTTCAACAAAAATATTAACATGTTTAATAAAAATAGTAACATGCTTAATAAAAACTATAACATACTTAACAATAATTATTTCTTTCAAATTCAAGTGCAAAAAATAGTACCATTCAAATATAAAAAATAGTAATATTCAAAAAAAAATAGTAATATTGAATATTAATATTTAGGAAAATAATAATAGTAATATGCTCAATAAAAATAGTAACATATTCAAAAATAATAGTAACATGAATAGTAACATAATAAAAAAAATAATAACATGAATTTTAATTTTACTATTTAAATTCATAATAACTTTTTTTTGTATTTAAATATTATTATATTATATTTTTAATGTTACTATATATATATATATAAAAGAGAGAAAAATTTTTAATATTATATAAACTCCTAACTTATATATGATATGAATATAGGTAGGTATGAGAAAAAAAATATTAACTTTCTTTCAAAGAAGGGTATTTTAAAAAAAAAAAAAAAATAGACTTAAGTCTGTACATATAATTTTAAATATAAATTTAACTCATTATAAATATTCTTCCGGGACTTATCTCCAAAATAACTTCACGTAGGAACTCACTTCCAATTATTACTAAATTTTTTCTTTCTTTATCCTGGTTTCAGCCCACTAACAGCTCCGTCCTTGCCCACATCCTGACGCTAACTGTTTTTTCTTGTCTGTTATAAAGATTTTATCAATCCTCTGCGTTTGTTTGTGTGTGTGTGTGTGAGAGAGAGAGAGAGATGGAAGAGATAACCGACGGAGTGACCAACGTCACCTTAACCGGCGATTCGTACAATAAGAATCGGATTCAGGTCTCCAACACCAAGAAACCCTTGTTCTTCTACGGCAATATCGCCAAGGTATCTCTTCCCTTCTCTCTTCCTAATTGCATCCACACAATACATATGGATGCATATGAAATTTGGGTTTTGAATTATCCATCAATAAAAAGTCTGGGGTTCTTGTTAATCCATAAAAAATAGAATCTGGGTTCTGTTTTTTTGGATCTGGAGTTTAGGTATAGGTTATGGGCTGGAATGAGTGAGATTGGTGTTTTATATCTCCCTAGCTTTGTTTTTCTATTTTGTGGTAAAGTATTGAGTTAATGGGTTATTTGTGTTGGATTTGTGATTGCAGAGGTAGATGGAACAGTAAAATGAGGTGGAACTTTCAGCTCTTGGCATGGGTACTTTTTCTTTTTTTTTCTTTTTTTTTCTTTCTCCGACAATAGCTTGTGTAGTTTAAACCTCTTGTTATGTTAATTTTTCATTATTTATCACGTTGGGGGTTATATTATGTGTGTAAGTGTATTTATTGTTTTCTCCAGTGTTACTCTGCTTTATCGCAGGTATTGTGTCCATAAGTCTATTGATTGTTTTTTTCCCCTGAAACTTCTATATGTTTTTGTTTTTCTGGGTGTCCCTCAGTGAGAAGGTTAAAGAAGAAGACAGATATTGTAAACGTTATTAAAGCATGAAACTCATTTCTCTATTGGTCCTTGGAACAGCAGAATGACTTGAAATATTAAGTTGATAGAACCAAGTGTTAGGATTTGTACATGTCTTTCCAAAGAGGCTCGAGAAAAGTTAATTTGTTGAAGTAGAAGAGATAAGGGAGAGTAGACCCCATGTTAGAGAGAGATATCGTGTAGAGAGACGCGTCTCTGAATTGAATGAATAATAATCCTTTCCCTTTTGATTGGTGAGCAAATGAGGTGTTTATAATGTGTGTCACCTGTACAGCATAGTCACATGTAAGATTCAACAACGAAGATGAAACTTGTATATTCTTTAAATACGTATTTTAAGAGGCACGCGATTTGCACTATCCACCACATTCTCTTCTCGGATAGGAATAGCAAGTTAGTTAGTGGTGCCTGTGGAAGAAGTGGTATGGTGGAACGCATGTGGCACCAAGACTACTCATCTTCTTGCAACACCATGGACACATGAGGTACCGTCAACCCTTGCAGCATAAGGACTAATTGGCACCAGAACTAGCTAGCACCTTTGTTTCGGACATTCCCAACCACAACCACCTCTTATGAGCCTCTAGGTGACATCGCAAGGTGAGCCATGGCTTTGCATTGTTCCTGCATTGCAAGGATTGAAGCCCCCACAATTTGTTGGTTTCGTCTATTTGTTGTCTTCTTTCCTCCCCCTTGTCTCGTCTCTCTCGCCTGCCCATCCCTAGTACATGAGTGCACGTGTGGATGCAAGGTTTGATAGTGTCCTACCAAAACGCCTTCACAAATGGTATTGTGCCCATCCCCATCTTTTATTCTTCTTATGTCTATTTCATCTCTCTCTTCCCCATCACCCCTCTCTCTTTTGTAGCCCTCGTGAAATCTGTATAGTTTTATGCTGCATAATTAAAAAGTTTAAATGTCTGGCTTTCATTTTTCGTGTGTGTGTATTGCATGAAAATAATATATATTTCTCTCCAAGGATTGTGTAAGTTTGAACGTCCAAAATTTGATTTTGTCTCTTTCCATCCTCTTAATTGAGGGTGAGTGAAAATCGTATAGTTGTGCTTTCTAGATAATTTATCAGAAATAATTTCATGTGCATGATATCCATGCTAATTTTATTTAGATATCATCTGCAGAAAACTAGGCTCTTACAGTAGTCTATAGCTTCTTTATGGTATTTTCCGTTTTTGATGAGCTCATACTGTCATATCTGCAGCTATTGCCACAGTTGTCACCGTTGCTGAACTTTTAAAACACAATGGATTGGCTGTTGAGAAGAGTAAGACTTTTGATAGTTTTTTTTTCAGAAAAGAGAAAGTTGATTACTCTTCGTATTTCTCCGCAAACCTAATGATCATAATTTGCAGAGATCATGACATCTAATGTTGATATGAAGGATGAATCGAGAGGGCGTCCCATCTCTAAAGCCAAGGTAAGTTTTGTAATGTGGTGTATGTCTAGGATTTGGGTCAGATACGCCTTTTTTTTTTTTTTATGTACGCCTACATAGTATGACTCTGCAGCCCTTTCATGTATTTTTCTCTGCTGCATATGGATTTTGTGGGTGATTTTAATTATTTACTCATCTGTTTGCTGTTGGACTTGGTGATATAAAGGGGGTTTACACAGTGGGTTTCTAGGTTCCATTCTCTGTAATCATTTATACTAAGTTGTACAATGTACTATTGAGTTTAACATCAATTGGAATTCTGCTTCTTAGATTGAGATATTGCTGGGGAAGACAGAGAACTTTGATGAATTAATGGCAGCTGCTGCAGAGGAGAGGGCTGCTGCAGATGGTGATGAGCAGAGCTGAAAGGGGCTCTGCCTACTCAAGTTTTTGTTGGTTTTACTGTCTGTAGTTAGGTAATGCAATTAATTCAACTAGTTCTTTAGTTGTTTACAGATATCAGAGGTACTATTAATTTTTCCTGAATGATCTTGGTGCTGTTTGGGGAATATTTTTTTAGGATTGCGGAA